AGAATTCTTCTTTTATCTGGTTGAGTTTTCTATTTATTTCTTGCATAAATTCTTCTTTGTTGGTTAAAGTTTTAGTGTGTTTTGGAGGGATTTCATGTGGAACGAATAAATGTTTGTTATCAACAATTTTTAGTGGTTTTGACCTTTCGTCAATAGGTTTTAGGATGGGTTTTGCTACAATGTCTTCAATTCTATTCAGTTGTTCGCTAATAGTATTCAAACATTAGTTTGCATAATTATTTTGCTGATAAATATTTTTTATATCATTTCCTGATATTTCACTTAAATTTTCTTTGACTTTAAAAGATGGAGCCTTAATTTCTACTCCTTTATATGGAATCGTTACTTTTGTTAAAGGTGGATGAATTGACTCTATTTCTTCATTATCTTTTCCTCTTGTGATTTTCCACTATTTTGCTTTTATTTGGATATTGATTGTTTTTTCACTATCAAACCATTGGAAGAAAGGTATAAGAATTTGGTGTGTTTTCATAAAGTTGTAATAATTTTGTTGAATTATTATTAAAGTTTTTGAAGAATGTTTCTCTTAATTCTTGATTTTCTTTTGAATAAAAATCTCTTAAGAAGGTTTTATCAATTTCAAATTTTTCAATCATGTTTAATTCTAGCAAATCTGTCATTTGGAAATAGGTTGGAGACATTCTTTGTGATGTCTCTTCCCTATCCTGTTAGAAGGGTGTTTGAACTGAATAATAAGGTTGTGGTATTGTTGAGGAATTATTAATTCCTTGAATATTTGTTTTAACCTGGCTAGGTCTAGGGGGGTATCTTACTGAACAAGAAAATCTTCTTTGTTCAAGAGGTTCTTTGGGATTTAATCTGGATGAGGATAAGTGTGAGTCATCAAAACTTATTCTTGGAGGCCTACTAAACCTAATCCAAACACTTCCATAAGAATTTTCAGTTATATTTTCAATTTCTGTATTTTGGATTGGTTGGGTTAAAGGTTTAGGAATTCTCATTTCTGAAGGAATGACTACATTAGCTAATCCCTAATCCTCTAGTAAAGTTATTTGGTCCCAATTGATTGTTTTAGGAACTGTTATGTTTGATCTTGTTAAATCAGTTTGAAATAACACTGTGTGGCCACTCAAAGGTAGTTCTTGCTCATATACTTGGTATCTCTTTTCCAATATATATATATACTGGAAAAGAGATACCAAGTATATGAGCAAGAACTACCTTTGAGTGGCCGAGTGGTTCAATAAAGACTCTTGGATGTATTACTCAAGAGGTCTCGAGTGCGAGTCCTTTCTCGATTGCTAATAAGAGTAGCTATTGAAACTCTTACCCGGTCGATAGTTTTAGAGTCCCAAAAGATTAGTTAAGGTACACGTAAGCTGGCTCGAACGCCCCGGTTATTAAAAAAAAAAGTGTATGAGAAAGGATATTATTGGAAACCTGAACTCAATTAATAGAAATATTATTTTCTCTCATTTTTTCTCACTTTCTCTCCAACTAAACTCTAAAATCTCTCACCTAAATTATATGAAAATCTATATCGAAGATCTTAAGACTTTTAACACATTACACATAATTTCTCAACACAATATTTATAGTCGATGTGAATTTTTGAAGATAAATGAATCAAATATGTTTTTTTTTTTTTTTTTTTTTTTTTTTTTTTTTTTTTTATGTAATCCTCCATCAGACACAATCAAAAATAAATATTTAGGAGGGTTATCAAAATTCTTAAAAGTATACATAAAACAACAATACCCATGTTATAATAATATATATATATATATATATATAACTGGATCGTAATTTTAAATGGAACTCCCTAATTTTTAAAAATGACAGATTCCTAATAATTTCTTCAGAAAGATTTCTGGAAAAATATATGTGTTGTCTTGTAGGAGAATTACAGTTAACCACCTATATTATACTATATGTTAAAGCCTTTTATTGTTTAAAATTATTACAAATATACCTTGCATCACTTGCATAATATTATTAGGTGAGCGGGTTTGGGTACCCGCCAAAAATCAAAGGAATTAAAACTGCCCAGTTCCTTAGATTTGGAATCAGAATCGGCCGGTTCCGATACCTAAAAACCTGGAACTGAAACCTGCAAAATAAGCTTCGTTCTGGGTACCTGAGATAGTTTAATTACTCCCTACTTTTTAAAAAATAACAAATGAACCCTATAAAATTCATATACCCCAATAGTTTACAAAAATTATAAATACACCCAAAGTGTAAATGTTCATAAAAATTACAAAAGCCCTTCATCTTTCAATCCAACAGCTCTTCTTTCATCATAAAGCCTAGCCACCACCCCTTTCTCCACAAACCCTCCTGGCTCTTCCTCTCACAACCCAATCAATTATTCTTCTTCTTTTCGATATTTATTGGATTTTAGATGTATTTTAACTTCTTCTTCTTCTTGTTTTCGGTATTTATAAGATTTTAGATGGTTTTTAAACCAGTTCCAATCCAGTACCCGAACCTCGGTTCCTGGTCTGGTTCCCATGTTAGTTTTGATTCCTTCAATGGGTGGAGCCGATATCGAAATCACACTATATCGGTTCCACCCACAGCAGAACCAGAATTGACCACATACAGGCCGGTTCCGATTCCTACTCAAAACCAACGATTCAAGTACCTGCCAGTATCGGGTCTACCCGTTACCCATGCTCAGCCCTAATATTATTAAAGACAAGTTTAAGCTTTCAAAAACAAATAGGGTTGCATTTGTTATAATAATTTATCCCTAATTGTTTAAGGTTTTTGTCATCTAACTTACCCAAATTATTAGTTAAATTAATAACCAAAACCCTAACATAATATTGTCGTAAAGGGGAATATTACTATTTCATATACCTGAGAGTGGAAAATTTTATTCAAGGAAATCTATGAGGGAAATAAAATCCTTTTGTAAATATTATAAGAGTGTTTTTTTTTTTTTTTTTCAATTTTAAATAAAATTTTGTAATTTTACCCGATGCTGAGGGCATGTATAACATTCATAGAAAGTTTGTAAATTGCAAAATAGGAAACAGTATCATAATCGTCATTATTTTAAAAAATTTACAATACCACTTACGACATGACATATGCTCATGTTTCAACATACTTGTGATGACATTCATAACATTTTAAATAATAAAATGAATATCATTTATGTCATAACATTTTAAATAATAAAATGAATATCATTTATGTCATAACATTTTAATAATTTATATTTTTCTTATTTTCTCTTTATCTTCTCTCTCCTCTCTCAAAAAACAATATTTTTATCACAAACTGCAAATAAAAACAAAAAAAATTAAAGACATGTTTGGTAGATTATATGTTTTTCTGAAAAATTATTTTAAGTTGAGTTGAGTTATATTAAATCGAATTGAATCAGATTCTAAAAATGTGTTTGGTAAAATATTTGAAAAGTATATTCAGAGTTTGATAAAATGTTGAATAGTTGTTTGATATATTTTCTTAAAATATTTTAGATTCATTTTAACCCCCTATATTTATTAATTTAGCTAAACTCCCCCTACATACAAGTTTAAAAATTAACTAAAGCACCATAGCCATCTAAGAGGACCACCGACCACCATTGTCAGGCGGTAATCGACAGTCGTCGGAACCGCGCACGACCAACTAGATATGATTGGTCATGCGCTGATATGACTGTTTCTAACTAGATCTACAGCTAAAATCTAGCCATTGTCAATGACCAGATAGATCTGGTCGTTAATGGTTGGATCTAATCGTCGATCTGGTTGTTTCTGGCTGTATCCATGATAGATTTGACTAGAAACGTTAAGATCAATGCACGAACGACCAGATCTGGCAAGGGTTGACTAATTTTCATATTGGAAGGAGTGAAAGATAATTGTTTTTAGTTGGAAAAATGTTTTGAGTTGAATATAATAGGATAATAGAAAACAAGTCTCACCAATTTTTCATTTTGAGACAAAAAATCATATTTGAGTTGAAAAACACATATTCTATTTTTTAATCCAAATAGGATAATAGAAAAATGATTTAAAGTAGTGTAAAAAACAGGGGCTAATATATTTGAGACAAACTTTTTGAGATAAACAAAATAAGTAGTAATTTGAAGGGGTATATCAATTGTATAAGTAATGAATTTCATAATTTTTTTATCATTTTTCTATTTTGTGCTTTCAACAATAACATCCGAAGTGTTTTCATTTTCACATATAAAAAAATAATTTTCGAACAAACATACAAAATATGTTTTAACCACCCCCTTGTGACAAGATGGATTGAAGGAGGGGTGAAGGGTTGAGAGACCAAGCGTCTTGACTCTTGAGTCTTGAGTTTGAGTTGTACCAAATGGGTGACCCACCAATTACCTTACTAAAAACATGTGTTTTAATTTTTCATATTTTCTTATTAATTTCAAAAAACAAAAAAGGGATTCATAAAATTAATAAAAGACCACATCAACTGTCTTAAGTAGAAGATGCAACAACTGACACCTCTTTAATATATTTAATTAATGATATCATAATACATTTTTTATATTTTAATTATAATAATTAAATAAACTTATTACGTAAACCTTGAGCTTAAGTTTTCAGAATTCAGAAGCCAAAGAAGGCAGAAGTGATGCAAGTAAGTTCACACGAAGGGACTAAGTATCGGAATCTTGAAACTACACTTACAACCATATAAAGGGAAAACCAATGAGTTCATGCCACGTAAGGGCACCAAAAATCTATATTCCCTGTCCCACATATTTCGGAAAATTCCCGAAACGCCTACCTACTTTTGAATATCTATTCACTTACATCCCTATATTTCGCGACACGTCAGCGTACCGAAAGTTACGTAATGGAACAAAAATTCGCGTGTATTTGCTAATTTTTCCCGTCACAAAAAGTATATAAATAAAAAAAGTAAAGCACAATTCAACTAGAACTCGTATTATTTTAAAATGTTAAATTGAAAAATATTCGTAAATATTTTTATTATTATCGTCATTGGAGTACTAATTTTGACCTTTCGCTATCCGGATCTAGGGTTTTTTTTTTTCTTTTTTCAAGACTCGTTCTTCACCATCATCATCATCAAGATTAGAAACCCTAGCACCACCACTCACTGGTTAATTTCAATCAAATAAAGCGGTAGATCATCGAGGAAGAAGGAGGAGAAGTTTTATGATCTATCTAAGAAAAAACTTGTTCTTTTTTAAATTTGTACAAAAATCGGATCAAATCTTAAAAGCACCGATGATGATCAAAAGAAACCTCATGATTTTTTTTTGTTATATTTGATTTGACGATGATGAGATGAGATGAGATGAGACACACAATCGAAGCCAAGAACTGAGATATTTTTCTATTTTTTTTTCGAATTTCTTTTTTTGACAACTTTATTTTTGGGGAGATCTGAGAAGAATAGAAAATGTATAAAACGGCGGTGTATGAAGGAAAAGAAAAATTGGGGGAAGTAGAGATATATCCACAACAAGGAGAAGAAGAAAAGAACAAGAAAGTGTTCGATGAAATCAGAATAAGTTACTACACGGAAGCGAGTGAGAGATGTCCACCCCTGGCAGTGCTACATACCATTACGTCTAGTGGGATTTGCTTCAAAATGGAGTCTAAATCATCGGACAACACGCAGCTACATCTATTGCACTCCTCCTGTATCAGAGAAAACAAGGTATAATATCAACCCAAAATTAACAAATTAAATTAATTAATTAAGTAAAATATAATTAAAAATTTTGAACTTGAAACTGGAAAAAATAAACCTCACTTGAATTTTACAGGGACTGTTCTTCTGGACAAATAAAACAACAAAATTTTGGCAAGGACTACTAATATTGAATGAAATTAGTTGTGCTGAGTTTTTGACAATTTCAGTGGACCCATTTGCCAATTTTTTTGCAAGTAAATTGTGTGAACTGATTTTAAAAAATTGGGGGAACTTTAAGAATTTGAGTGAACCCAATTATGCCACTTTTGCCCTAAGTTTATGAGAACTGCTTGAGTTAATAAGTTTGCCCAGAAATAGAAGTTATGATCTAATTTTATTAAACTTTGAACTCAGCGTTTTAGCCCAGGTTACTGCACTTGCTAAATTAGGCGTTGTGGTGGAGCTTGCTTAAGTTAATATTATGAATGCTTTGTCATTTTGTGACAATTTTATTGATTTCTTCTTGCTAATAGTTGTGGTTCATAATTTTCTTGGTTGGAGATAGTTGTGAATGTTGAAAGAAACAATACAAGGATTTCTATGTTCAGTGATTTGGCTCACACTGGTTATATGTGTATGAGAATTAAAAGTAATGGGTACCTGAGATTGCTTTGTGGCTTACAATGCATATTTAAATGTGAAGTACACAATCATAGGGTGTTTATCCATGGCAGTTCTTCTGAATGTAGCCTTATTTGTTTGGAAGGAATTATGTATATTTCATGCATATCTTACTTATTTTAATTTACCTTTTATTCAGCAATTTGTCATACTCAAGGGTGGATATTTTTGGTGAACATAGATAATGATTATTGTTTTGGTGTCTGCAGACTGCAGTGATGCCACTAGGGGCAGACGAGCTCCACTTGGTTGCTATGTATTCTAGGAATAACGAGAGGCAGTATCCCTGTTTCTGGGGATTCATTGTTGCATCTGGACTGTATAATTCTTGTCTTGTCATGTTGAACCTTAGATGTCTTGGCATTGTTTTTGATCTGGATGAAACCCTTATAGTTGCAAATACAATGCGCTCATTTGAGGATAGAATTGAAGCTTTGCTGCGTAAAATAAGCACTGAGGTGGATCCACAGCGCATTGCTGGTATGCAGGCTGAGATCAAGCGCTATCAAGATGACAAGACTATATTGAAGCAATATGCAGACAATGATCAGGTTGTTGAAAACGGGAAGGTGATCAAAGTTCAGTCAGAGGTTGTTCCAGCGTTGTCTGACAACCATCAAACTATTGTTCGGCCACTTATACGGCTACAAGAGAAAAACATCATTCTGACTCGCATCAACCCGCTGGTACATATATATCAAATCTGAAGGAAATTGCTTTAATGCATTGATTCATTGTCTTTACTGCTATTGCAACTTTGGACTTACACACCACCTTTTTTTTTTTCTTGGTTTTACTTTCTCGCTTGGTTGCAGTTTCATATCTGTTTTGATTTATTTGTAGTTTATATAAAATGTATTAAGAAATTGAGGTTTCTGCAGCATCCAATCTTGGGTTCAACTAATAGTCTCGATGGTTTCTGGCTCAGAGTAGTTTTGAAGCTTTTAAGTTATCAGATTATGTTTGTCCAAGTAACACAAAACTGTTTTATTCCTATAGATTCGTGATACCAGTGTTCTTGTGAGGTTGAGACCTGCATGGGAAGATCTACGGAGCTACTTGACTGCTAGAGGACGCAAGCGTTTTGAGGTCTATGTTTGCACTATGGCTGAAAGGGATTATGCTCTGGAAATGTGGAGGCTTCTTGATCCAGAGTCAAATTTGATAAATACTAAAGAACTGTTGGATCGCATCGTGTGTGTCAAATCTGGTATGTGGCATGATAAAGCTTGCAAATGCCTTCTGCTTTGTTGCAGCTGCTTCTCATTATTGTAACTTTTGCCTCAAATTACTGAAATAGCTTGTTCATTATACTTAATGTTGCTTATTTCTCTATTAGCAGGTTCAAGGAAGTCATTGTTCAATGTCTTTCAAGATGGAATTTGCCATCCTAAGATGGCACTTGTGATAGATGATCGCTTAAAAGTGTGGGATGAGAAAGATCAACCTCGGGTGCATGTTGTTCCTGCATTTGCTCCATACTATGCTCCTCAAGCTGAAGTATATTTTATCTACTTTTGGCTATATAGTTTGAAATTTCCATATTGCCATAACACACATATTCACATCAAAGTTATCACCTTTTCTTGGCAGCATGCACTCATCATATTTTTTCATGTTGCAGGCAAATAATGCAGTTCCTGTCTTGTGTGTGGCGAGAAATGTTGCTTGCAATGTTAGAGGCGGTTTTTTCAAGTGAGAATGTGAAACCTTGACTAACTTCTTTTTCGTGGCACGCATGTCCCTCATTTATTGTTATCATTGCAACTCAAAAGTGTTGAGCAAAGTTCTGGTCCTTTTTATATATTGAATTAATCATTCTTTGGTGTGATATTAACTATGAATTTGATAACAGAGAGTTTGATGATGGTCTTTTACAAAGGATACCGGAAATTTCATATGAAGATGATATGAAGGATATTCCTTTGCCTCCTGATGTGAGCAACTATTTAGTTTCAGAGGTTAGTCATGAATATTCCCTATCCATGATTATTTTTTTGTTCACATCCATGCTTAAATTTCTTATTTACTATTGTGATTTTGGTTGCTTTCCAGGATGATGCTTCTCTCTTGAATGGAACCAAAGATCCACTTACTTTTGACGGCATGGCAGATGCAGAGGTTGAAAGAAGACTTAAGGTAATTATTGTAGCCATTTTCAGCTCTTATTTTGATCTATATGTCTAGATATACTTATATGGGACTCTGGAAATCTTTGTAAAGATATATAATTTCACTGTTCAGCCTGTAAGCTTTAAAGATATCCTGTTATTCTTTCATGCAGGATGCAATGTCGGCTTCTTCAACAATCTCTTCAGCCCTCACGAATCTTGATCCAAGGCTTGCTTCACTTCAGTACACAATGCCAACTTCTTCTAGCTCAATTCCTCTCCCAACATCTCAAGTGGCAAATTTGCCATTTCCCAATGTGCAGTTTTCTTCAGCAGCTTCATTAGTGAAACCATTGGGTCATGTTCCCCCTCAAGAACCAAGCTTGCAAAGTTCTCCTGCTAGAGAAGAGGGTGAGGTGCCAGAATCAGAATTAGATCCTGATACTAGGAGGCGACTTCTCATATTGCAACATGGTCAAGATACCAGAGATCAGCCACCAAGTGAACCCTCATTTCCTGTAAGACCTCCGATGCAAGTTTCAGCTCCACGTGTGCAATCACGTGGAAGTTGGTTTCCATCCGAAGAAGAGATGAGCCCTCGACAGCTGAACCGAGCAGGACCCAAAGAATTTTCTTTAGATTCTGAGCCAATGCAAATTGACAAGCACCGGCCTCATCATCCACCTTTTTTTCCTAAGGTTGAGAGTCCTGTTCCACCTGATAGACTTCATGAAAATCAAAGATTGACAAAAGAGGTAATCTATCTTGTGGTTGTCTAGCATTGAATTTGTGTGCCGAAATGTCAAAATTACTTTTGCTAGTAAATCATGTTGATCTTATAGGATTATACTTATTTGCAGCCACTTCGTAGAGATGACCGGTTGAGGTTAAACCATGCCCTGTCTAGTTATAATTCGTTCTCAGGTAAGCTATTACACATTAAATTGGGTATTTAGATGAATTGTTTAAGAGGTGCTTGTAGATTTCCCACAGTTATACTTATGGTGTCTGGTATGTGGGGATTCCATTTGAAGGTGATGAGGTCCCGTTGAGCCGATCATCTTCTAGCAACAAGGATTTTGACTTTGAATCTGGACGAGATGTTTCAAGTGTGGAAACTCCAGCTGCAGTTTTACAGGATATTGCTATAAAGTGTGGAGCCAAGGTAGTACAAAACTTTTGAATTGTATGAGATAGTCTATGTTCCATATCCATTGACCCACTTTCCTTTTTTTCCCCATTACAGGTGGAATTTAGGCCAGCTTTGGTTGCTAGCATGGAATTACAGTTCTCCATTGAGGTTCTCTATATCATTGCTTTCCATGATATGATATTTTGCACTAGTCAATTCAGATTTAAATCATTTTTTTTTATCTATTTCCCTCAAGTGAATGAATTAAGTTAGTCAGCTGAAATGCATCCTTTTGTTTCATTATATTTTTGACATGATTTGCACACTTTTTTTCTTAAAAAAAAAAAAAAGGATTTGTACACATTTGCATATATATGTGTGTGTAACAATTATATTTGCCGAAGAAATCTTAAGTAGATTTTGAGCTTGGATTGTACTAGCTGGATAGGAGGATTTTATGTTTTTCTCTAAATTAGAGGACATCATTTCATTTGAATAAATAAAAATGTTAAAGTAAATTATGAAACAACTCTCTTTAATTGATATCAATATTTTTGGGTTATTATTTATGCCATTCTATTTAGTGCCTCGATAACTAGACCATAGCATATCAAAGCTTTTCCAAAGGGAAACACTCTCTCCTTACACTTAATATGTGCACACACATTCACAGACTCATAGAATTACCTTGAATACAAGGCTTTGCACCAAAGAATAACATGAGGAACAAGGAAATACTATCTTTTGCTGAGTGTATGTGATTTATCAGGTGGCTGCAATGTGAACCTTTTGAAATGTAATATGACATTTTGTTTTGGAGTTAAACCATCTTACTTCTTATGTAACTAATGTGAAGTATTATCAAAATGACTTTGCCAGTTCTTAATTGACAAATGACATATCTCCACATGCCTCATCATGCTTATTGTTTTCTTGTAGGCTTGGTTTGCAGGAGAGAAGATAGGTGAAGGAATGGGTAAAACAAGAAGGGAAGCCCAACGTCAGGCTGCTGAGGCATCCATCAAGAACTTGGCTAGTAAATTCTTTTTCTTGGTTATAACTGTTACTTATTTGTACAAGCTTTTATTTTTTAGAGTTCATGGTCTATCTATCTGTTGCCATTTTGGGCAAAGCGTATGATTTGGTGAATTTTCTCTTCATGAAGAACTTCTTTGCAACATATTATTGAGCAAAAGAGTAAGTTTTGTATCTCATAATGTTTAGTAAGAGAATGATAGCTTATGATCATTAGTGTGCACGGTAAAATTTGAAGCAGGACCTGTTGGATGAAGAGAATTGGTTGTGAATGTCTTATAAAACACTTATTTTACATACGAGCCAAATATTTATGATTAGGTTTGCAGTGTAACTGCTGCACAACAGCTCAATATAGCAGAGTGCATCTATATTTTAAATGCTTTGACAAATTTATTCCAAAGAAATTAGACTGTAGATACTTAATATCTCGAGTTTCCCTTTGTCCTGATTTTATCCCCTTGATCACATTATGTGGCTTGTTGGTAATTTTAGTAAAAATAATTATCAATCAAGTCTTTAATATATGATATCATTACCATACATATTGTAATGCACAAATGTAGCTTATTTCATGTGCAAATAGTGTTAGATTTGTCTACTTCACAGAAATGATAAATTTCTTTACTAGATGAGCTCATTTAAAGAAATGAAAACCAAGCTTGAACATTGTATGAGTTTGATATTAAACTTGACTTCTGCTTGAGCTAAATTCAGTGAACTTAAAATCTTAATGTTCTATTTGTCTGAACTCATTATTATTGTTCTTAAACTTGCCATACCATATAGCTTTGTCACTACGTAGGGAAATATATTAGTTATCATGTTTACCATTCTGGACTCTATTACTTGTGCATTAATGTTCTGGATAAATATCCTGCAAATTTAGATTTCTCCCTCCTGGTATTTCTGGGAGATTTTTACCAACTTGGAAAATGTTTTTGCAGACGTATATATGTCACGTGTAAAGCCTGAATCTGGTTCTGCACATGGAGATGTTGGAAGATTTTCTAACACGAATGATAATGGGTTTTTGGGTAATTTTAATTTATTTGGGAGTCAGCCGTTGCCCAAAGAGGAGTCTGTGTCATTTTCAACTGTGTCAGAGCCATCTACAGTTCTAGATCCAAGGCTGGAGGTCTCTAAGATACCAATGGGTTCAGTGTCTGCACTTAAAGAATTAGTGAGATTTCATGAACTTGGAAAACTTGCATTATAATTATCTAAATTAGTTGCATGTGGGTAAATTTAAGTCTTGGAGTTTCTGTTCTCACTTGGATTTACGATGACCTTCTTCAGTGCATGATGGAGGGCCTTGGAGTTGCTTTTTCAAAGTTGTCTCCATCACCAGTTAATTCCATCCAGAAAGACGAAGTATATGCACAGGTTTGCATTTGACCATTTTTTTATCATTATTATTTGCCTTAATGATTGGCGTGAAGTTTGGAAGTGCAGTTCTTTTCTTTTGTCTGAAATTGAGTTTTAACTTGTGTAGCGAGTTGTAGAACAATCATGATCCTCCAATTTTATAAGTTGTGAAAACACGATTATTTGGTGAAATAAGTTAAAGCAAAGTTATTATATGTATATTGAAGCACAATGCTCCAGGCTATAATGAGCTAGGGTTGATTGCTCGTTAACTTCTAACATTATTTTATTTTTATTTAATGAAGGGCCTACATTTCTATTTATAAATTTGTTTCATTTCTTTTTACACTACGATGTCCTTCCTGTGCAACAATATGGTGCTTGCTCTCTCACCCTTTGCAAGTAGGCTCTTAATGTATAGTTGCCAGTCATTAGGTTTTTTAGCCATTATAGGGATGATTAATGGTTTTTTTTTTTTTTTTAAAAGAAAAAAGAAAAAAAATTGCATATTGCTTGACTGAAACTTAACATTGGGTTTATCATCTCAAGCAAAATGATCTGCAACCCATTTAATGGTCTAATACTTCTTCATATTGGGACTGTCAACATTTAAGAAATGACTTCTCATGGAAACAATGGGAATGATTTCTTTCTGGGGTGTCAAGAAGTTGTAACAATGTCATTTGTTAGAAATAGAAGTGATTATTATTGTTATATGTTTTTGTGGTATTATTTGAGTTGGATTATAACTATCTTTGTCCTTGCCCATATTTTAGGTTGAAATTGATGGTCAGGTGTTAGGAAAGGGGATTGGGTCAACTTGGGATGAAGCTAAAATGCAGGTACATCTTTTGTTGGATGTTCTAATTTTTTATTTTCTTGTATGAGGCTTGTATTTTTCTTGATGAGTACATTTTATGCTCCTTGTTTGTTTTATATGCTATCTCAACACCTTGATATGTTTTTCATTAGGCTGCTGAAAAGGCCCTTGGGAGCCTAAGGTCAACGTTTGGTCAATTTCCTCAAAAACGTCAGGGATCCCCAAGGTGTGCAAAATCTCCTGTCGCTAATATTATTTATTCCTTTATAAATAGCATGTCTGAGTACCATCTATCTCTGCTCTCTTCACTATTTCCTTTTTTCCGATTCTTAATGACGTGCCAAAGGATATGCAGGCCATTGCAAGGGATGCCAAGTAAACGTCTAAAGCCAGACTTCCCACGAGTTTTACAGCGAATGCCCCCTTCTGGTAGATATCCCAAGAATGCTCCTCCTGTTCCTTGAAAGCCCTTAGCATATGCTTTTTCATCCCACGCTTTGGCTATACTATTTGGTGGGACATTTTTATTGTACATAACATAGAGACGAGGAAGGGCTGTTGAGATCCAGGCTGCCACCAATTGACCACCTTGTTGCCCCAGATTGACCTTATCGCTTCATTTTGAATTCTTCCAGCACACGAGGAGACAGACTATCTTGCCAAGTAACCGTAATTCTCAGATGTAAATTTGGTCTTTCCAGTCCTTTGTCTCTGCATCGTAGGAGACAAGCGAAGAAACAGGGACCGGCTGACTCAATGTTGTATCATTTTTTCCTCCTGAAAAGATCCATAGAAGCCTGACAAGATTAAAACGGGGTGCCATGTAGGCGTAGCCTTGATTTCTTTCATTCTTGTGGCAGATGATGCCATTTCTGTGCCAAGTTATTTGGCAGAGCCTTCTTGGGGTGGAATTGCTTATGATGTATATTTGTTAAGTGGAAGTTGTGCACTGAGAGGCAATCAAGGGCAGCTTGAGTTTCTGGTTTTGGGTGTACTCAAGAGTCACAGAAGACACTATCGTTGTCATTGTCATATAGCCCTTCGTCAATCCCACCAATCGGAAGATTACATTGAATTTAGAGTGCTGACATTGGTGAACATCTTACTGACTTTACCCGAAATGATGTAACACAAGTTTTCACTCATAAATCCACGCTCGGGAATTTTTCATATTTGCTTGTTAGTTGTTTTGATGAAATGCATCTCTTATTTCACGTTTCTTTCTTCCCTGTGGGGGATCATGCTTTAATAGAAATTGTTTCTTTGATTGAATATCAATGGTTTAATCGATAGCGTGTTCTGTAATATAGAATAATTTTGCAAAAACAAGTGATTGAAAATAACCAATTTCCAACAATAAGCATTGCATGGTTGTTGAATTCAATTATCTTAGGAATTACTTTACATATTTTATTCAAACTATTAACATCAACATAACCGCATGTCTGAATTGAAACTTAGGTAGCTGTGATTTCGATGGAATGAATGAGCAAGATCACTTCTGTGTAGCTGGGATTTCTGTGTCATGTCTCTTAACTATTTGTGTGGCCATCGGTTAGTCACCGTGATCTGATCATGGTGTGTGCTACCGCACAAGATGCCTGTTTTTTTTTGGTTTAATTATGTTCTAGATCTAAAATATTATCAAAATGACTTTGCCAGTTCTTAATTGACAAATGACATATCTCCACGTGCCTCATCATGCTTATTGTTTTCTTGTAGGCTTGGTTTGCAGGAGAGAAGATAGGTGAAGGAATGGGTAAAACAAGAAGGGAAGCCCAACGTCAGGCTGCTGAGGCATCCATCAAGAACTTGGCTAGTAAATTCTTTTTCTTGGTTATAGCTGTTACTTATTTGTACAAGCTTTTATTTTTTAGAGTTCATGGTCTACCTATCTGTTGCCATTTTGGGCAAAGCTTATGATTTGGTGAATTTTCTCTTCATGAAGAACTTCTTTGCAACAAATTATTGAGTAAAAGAGTAAGTTTTGTATCTCATAATGTTTAGTAAGAGAATGATAGCTTATGATCATTAGTGTGCACGGTAAAATTTGAAGCAGGACCTGATGGATGAAGAGAATTGGTTGTGAATGTCTTATAAAACACTTATTTTACATACGAGCCAAATATTTATGATTAGGTTTGCAGTGTAACTGCTGCACAACAGCTCAATATAGCAGAGTGCATCTATATTTTAAATGCTTTGACAAATTTATTCCAAAGAAATTAGACTGTAGATACTTAATATCTCGAGTTTCCCTTTGTCCTGATTTTATCCCCTTGATCACATTATGTGGCTTGTTGGTAATTTTAGTAAAAATAATTATCAATCAAGTCTTTAATATATGATATCATTACCATACATGTTGTAATGCACAAATGTAGCTTATTTCATGTGCAAATAGTGTTAGATTTGTCTACTTCACAGAAATGATAAATTTCTTTACTAGATGAGCTCATTTAAAGAAATAAAAACCAAGCTTGAACATTGTATGAGTTTGATATTAAACTTGATTTCTGCTTGAGCTAAATTCAGTGAACTTAAAAGCTTAATGTTCTATTTGTCTGAACTCATTATTATTGTGCTTAAACTTGCCATACCATATAGCTTTGTCACTACGTAGGGAAATATATTAGTTATCATGTTTACCATTCTGGACTCTATTACTTGTGCACTATTGTTCTGGATAAATATCCTGCAAATTTAGATTTCTCCCTCCTGGTATTTCTGGGAGATTTTTACCAACTTGGAAAATGTTTTTGCAGACGTATATATGTCACGTGTAAAGCCTGAATCTGGTTCTGCACATGGAGATGTTGGAAGATTTTCTAACACGAATGATAATGGGTTTTTGGGTAATTTTAATTTATTTGGGAGTCAGCCGTTGCCCAAAGAGGAGTCTGTGTCATTTTCAACTGTGTCAGAGCCATCTACAGTTCTAGATCCAAGGCTGGAGGTCTCTAAGATACCAATGGGTTCAGTGTCTGCACTTAAAGAATTAGTGAGATTTCATGAACTTGGAAAACTTGCATTATAATTATCTAAATTAGTTGCATGTGGGTAAATTTAAGTCTTGGAGTTTCTGTTCTCACTTGGATTTACGATGACCTTCTTCAGTGCATGATGGAGGGCCTTGGAGTTGCTTTTTCAAAGTTGTCTCCATCACCAGTTAATTCCATCCAGAAAGACGAAGTATATGCACAGGTTTGCATTTGACCATTTTTTTATCATTATTATTTGCCTTAATGATTGGCGTGAAGTTTGGAAGTGCAGTTCTTTTCTTTTGTCTGAAATTGAGTTTTAACTTGTGTAGCGAGTTGTAGAACAATCATGATCCTCCAATTTTATAAGTTGTGAAAACACGATTATTTGGTGAAATAAGTTAAAGCAAAGTTATTATATGTATATTGAAGCACAATGCTCCAGGCTATAATGAGCTAGGGTTGATTGCTCGTTAACTTCTAACATTATTTTATTTTTATTTAATGAAGGGCCTACATTTCTATTTATAAATTTGTTTCATTTCTTTTTACACTACCATGTCCTTCCTGTGCAACAATATAGTGCTTGCTCTCTCACCCTTTGCAAGTAGGCTCTTAATGTATAGTTGCCAGTCATTAGGTTTTTTAGCCATTATAGGGATGATTAATGGTTTTTTTTTTTTTTTTAAAAGAAAAAAGAAAAAAAATTGCATATTGCTTGACTGAAACTTAACATTGGGTTAATCATCTCAAGCAAAATGATCTGCAACCCATTTAATGGTCTAATACTTCTTCATATTGGGACTGTCAACATTTAAGAAATGACTTCTCATGGAAACAATGGGAATGATTTCTTTCTGGGGTGTCAAGAAGTTGTAACAATGTCATTTGTTAGAAATAGAAGTGATTATTATTGTTATATGTTTTTGTGGTATTATTTGAGTTGGATTATAACTATCTTTGTCCTTGCCCATATTTTAGGTTGAAATTGATGGTCAGGTGTTAGGAAAGGGGATTGGGTCAACTTGGGATGAAGCTAAAATGCAGGTACATCTTTTGTTGGATGTTCTAATTTTTTATTTTCTTGTATGAGGCTTGTATTTTTCTTGATGAGTACATTTTATGCTCCTTGTTTGTTTTATATGCTATCTCAACACCTTGATATGTTTTTCATTAGGCTGCTGAAAAGGCCCTTGGAAGCCTAAGGTCAACGTTTGGTCAATTTCCTCAAAAACGTCAGGGATCCCCAAGGTGTGCAAAATCTCCTGTCGCTAATATTATTTATTCCTTTATAAATAGCGTGTTTGAGTACCATCTATCTCTGCTCTCTTCACTATTTCCTTTTTGCCGATTCTTAATGACATGCCAAAGGATATGCAGGCCATTGCAAGGGATGCCAAGTAAACGTCTAAAGCCAGACTTCCCACGAGTTTTACAGCGAATGCCCCCTTCTGGTAGATATCCCAAGAATGCTCCTCCTGTTCCTTGAAAGCCCTTAGCATATGCTTTTTCATCCCACGCTTTGGCTATACTATTTGGTGGGACATTTTTATTGTACATAACATAGAGACGAGGAAGGGCTGTTGAGATCCAGGCTGCCACCAATTGACCACCTTGTTGCCCCAGATTGACCTTATCGCTTCATTTTGAATTCTTCCAGCACACGAGGAGACAGACTATCTTGCCAAGTAACCGTAATTCTCAGATGTAAATTTGGTCTTTCCAGTCCTTTGTCTCTGCATCGTAGGAGACAAGCGAAGAAACAGGGACCGGCTGACTCAATGTTGTATCATTTTTTCCTCCTGAAAAGATCCATAGAAGCCTGACAAGATTAAAACGGGGTGCCATGTAGGCGTAGCCTTGATTTCTTTCATTCTTGTGGCAGATGATGCCATTTCTGTGCCAAGTTATTTGGCAGAGCCTTCTTGGGGTGGAATTGCTTATGATGTATATTTGTTAAGTGGAAGTTGTGCACTGAGAGGCAATCAAGGGCAGCTTGAGTTTCTGGTTTTGGGTGTACTCAAGAGTCACAGAAGACACTATCGTTGTCATTGTCATATAGCCCTTCGTCAATCCCACCAATCGGAAGATTACATTGAATTTAGAGTGCTGACATTGGTGAACATCTTACTGACTTTACCCGAAATGATGTAACACAAGTTTTCACTCATAAATCCACGCTCGGGAATTTTTCATATTTGCTTGTTAGTTGTTTTGATGAAATGCATCTCTTATTTCACGTTTCTTTCTTCCCTGTGGGGGATCATGCTTTAATAGAAATTGTTTCTTTGATTGAATATCAATGGTTTAATCGATAGCGTGTTCTGTAATATAGAATAATTTTGCAAAAACAAGTGATTGAAAATAACCAATTTCCAACAATAAGCATTGCATGGTTGTTGAATTCAATTATCGTAATCTTAGGAATTACTTTACATATTTTATTCAAACTATTAACATCAACATAACCGCATGTCTGAATTGAAACTTAGGTAGTTGTGATTTCGATGGAATGAATGAGCAAGATCACTTCTGTGTAGCTGGGATTTCTGTGTCATGTCTCTTAACTATTTGTGTGGCCATCGGTTAGTCACCGTGATCTGATCATGGTGTGTGCTACCGCACAAGATGCCTGTTTTTTTTTGGTTTAATTATGTTCTAGATCTAAACTTTTTTGGATTTCAATTTTATTTTTGTTATTGTTATGATGAGTTTGGAGATGTGGATAAGGTGAAGTTTTTTATTTTGTGTTTTATTTTTTGTGAAAATGAAAGAATTGAAGAAGAGGGTGTAGATGATTGAAAATTGAAATATATGTGGTTGTTTTGTGAATGTTATTAATTTGGGGTTACTAGGAATTTGTCAATTTGCTTATAATATAGATTTTAAAGGGTAAAAAAGTATTTTAATGGTCAAAGCTGAATTCTTATAGCCGGAGACGAACTATGGGTGGAAGGGTGATAGTTTGCTTAAACCAGGGTGGAAAATGTATTTCGGCCTATCTTCTTATTTGGCAACTGGCAAGCTTGTAGTAAAACAGAAGGTGATGACTACGAGCAGATCAAGCTAGGAAACACAACCACAACAAAAAATCTACTTCTTTATTGAACATTAAGATTCATTTAATTTATTTTAACTACACATAGAACAATGTGAATACCTAATGGAGCAATTCATTTTAGAGCACCCAAATTCTCTGAAGTTGCAGGAACCAATAATCCATGTATGTAATCCGCAAGCCATTATCATTAATATGCTTGTCCTTTTCGGGTTAAAAGATCCCAAAAAAAATTCTGAGATGATGAAGAGCCTTCTCATTTGATTCTATTACAATCTCTCCGAGCACAGTAACTCTTATCACATTTGGTTTTCCAAATTGTACAATCATATATAACATTCAAGACCACTTTTCCATTGCCTACATGAGACTGGAACGGGTAGTTAAACCATATGTACCATGAAATATGACTCTTTAAGCCAAAGAGAAGCATATTTGACAACAAGAAGCATACGCAACGTTATATCATCAGAGTTGGTTGCTATAAACTTGGTCAAGTCCTATACATATTCCAGGATACATTGAACAAGAATAATACCAAAATATGCCCTATCATTTCTGACTGAAATCTATTAATTCAATGAACCGGTGAATTACTTCTTCTGAAGATCCTCAAAACTAAAAATAAATTCATGCACTAAGAGTTGCCCACATAAAATCAGAAACAAGCCAAACACATACTTATTGACTGATGATGCACCTTAAGCCCTATCTCTTTCACATAACAGGGTGTCAATCAGATGTCTTGAAAAGCTAGAACATCTCGCGCTTTGGGTGTTTAAGAAGGGGAAATGCAACCCTTTGAGCTTGAGGTGTTTGTTGCGGCAGATCTATCCTTTGTTGTGGCAAATCTGTTCTCTGTTGCTGGGATGTGCTGGGATCAGCAGTTTCTTCATCCTCCTCTGTTTCCTCCATTGGCTGGGCAGATTTCTTTGGGATCAACAGTTGGTAGTTAGGACCGAGTAATGTGTCCTGCTCAGGTGGGAGTGCGATACCGGGTGATGCTATTACCTTTGGCAATGGGATGCTGTTCCTGGTTCTAGACAACTGTAGTAGGACTTCTCTTGGTGGGGGTTGCGAGAAGCTAAAATTGACTTTCGACTGAATAGAAAGCTTGATATCATCACAATCAATAGAAGACTTGCCAGCATGCTCCGAGTAAACCTGTGCATCCGTTAATACATCAACAACATACCGGTACCACAACTCCAGGAACTGGTGTATGACTCGAGGCTCATAGTCTTCCACACCCATCGATTTCAGCAGTGATTTAACAATCTTCGCATCCCTAGGCATGTTCTCATCTCCCTCGGCCATTTTCTTGACTGACTACTCTGCCTGTCGACCAACAGAGGATTGTGCCGAGGTGAGTTTAGTTGAAAAAAAGTGACTTTCTCTTAGTGTATTTCTGTGTCTTGTTTCCTGCTTTCTCACTTGTCACACCTACTAAATACATGGAAGCTCAATAATTATTAATAATGTGAAATAACTCTATCTTTGTTATTATGCATGAATATCTAAAATAAAAGGCAAAACCATTACATCCGCAGACAACAGCAACAAAGCAGTCTTGTTGAAGCATTGATAATTTGCTGGAAAATTCAGTTAAAGTTAGTTTGTTTTTTAATGAGTTTTTGGCGCCAAACAGCAGATGCATTCCCTCTTGTCTGCCGAAATTGAAGCTGCTGGAGTTGTTAATTTTGTGACATGCAGCTTAAGATAAGATTGTATTAAGTTGCCAACTTTGTTTTTAAATTTTAAAAGTCTGAATGGTTGTTGCAGTTGGTAAAACAGTAAGCTTTGTTGAATATATATTGCAAGTTACAGTGTAATGAAAATGCAGTTCACTTTTCAGTTTTTTCTCCTTTTATTTCTTAGAATTCACCGGCTCTAAAAACCAACAAGTCTGCCTGGTGCAAATTTTTGTGAAAAGAAGCCCAACAAGATGTGTCTGTATAAAAGAAGTGATACTTTAAGGAGTCACTACCGAATAAACAGACTCAACTCCACAAAAAAATCTAAACAAATTTCTACACGATCAAATACAAACAGACCTCAATTTATTACAAATTGATTGCAAAATTGAAACACCAATTCTTAGCAGCCCTTTATAGAGAAAAAGGTCTCAGTTTTTTAATCAGAAATTAAATCAGTCACAATGCATCCACAAAGAAATTCAATGTCTGTGTTTTGGACGGTAATTGACTAGAATTAAAACACAAAATTTTCCTCAATGTGTTTTATTTTAAGCAAATCAATATGAAAAATAATAATAATAATAATAATAACCTTCTTCTTCGTCAGTGTCGCCGGAACTCACCTCGCCGTTCAGAAACGGTATTTCTGGAATGTTCAGAAATACACGGTGCTTCTTGGCAGCTTCATCGAGGGCTCCCTTCGTCAATCTCGCCGTCGACAAGCGGTTTTCTGGAAGCTTTGAACTCAGGCGGTGTTTATGTAAACTTCGTCGACGCCTTCCTTCATCATTCTCGCCGGAACTCTCGCCGTCGTCAAGGGCTCACAGAAAGTCGATTATGGAGAAATTTAACTTAAATGGAAACCGGACAAAGAGGGGTTACTTGTAGACCTGGCAAAATGGGCGGGCCGGGACAACGGATACGAAACGGGTTAGTTGGCTGAAAAGTTTGACTTGTACCCTTTCTTAAACGGGTACGGGTGGACCCGCCGTTGTCCACACTGTTCGTTCATTCCAGTTTTCAATTTTTACAGTTACAATCTCACAATTTCTACAGTTTTTATTTTTTACAATTACACCCTCACAATCAACTCCTCCGAATTCATTTCAATTCAACACACAAGTTCACAACTCCATACACTTCAAACTGCACTTTTAGTTTCTCATCATGTTTCTAATTTCCTCTTACAATTTCCTTCTTGAAATGGGAAACATTGTGAAAAATACAAGTTTCGCAGAGCCAATAATTAATTAATTAATTCTCCAAGTAATCAATTTCAAAAAAATAGAGAGGTCAGGTAAAGTAACTGAAAATCCATTGAGCAAAAGGCTACAAATCGGGAGCCATTAATATTTTCAATGATTAATGAACACAGCATCAAATTACACAAAACATCTTAAAAAAAATTAGAAGAAAAAAAAAATAAAACCACATTACCGATTAAATGCGTGTTCTGTGTTTAATTTTGTATAAGGTAAAAATGCTCAAAATTGATAGTCATTGAACAATAAGAATGATAGAACTCCAGTAGTACCATAAGTCAATACTCATGTTTATAAGTTGAGGAAGAAAAGGATTATTTAGATTTGGTTCATTATTCTGATACTTTTAGAATAATATTTTGAAAAAAAAAATTGGATTATGTTTACGACAAGTATAATTATTAATGTTTTGTGAGATGAATAAAGTAGAATATGATTTTTGAAAATATTGAAACAAATACATTTTTAAGTTTTAACTTTATTAAAAAAATCAAAATAATATTTGAAAGAGTGTACCAAGTGAAGCCTTAGTATTTGATCTATTTGAGTAATTTGTTAGCTATTGGGGAAGTTGTTAGCCACGTGGCATAGGCAGTAGGATTTGTGTGATTGTTGGGTATAAGTATGGAAACATGACTTGTAAAGGGGGGAACATTTTTAGTAAGGATTCGGTTAGGAGGTCACTAGCTCCTCGAAGTGCTAGGCTATCTTTTTTTTTTATTTGTTATTTTACTTTTCAACATTATCACTACTTTCCATTATAGTTTATCAATACAAAGCTCATCAATTTTCATTCCAATCTATTGGTTGTTTGGAATTGCTTGATTTTTGCGTCAGAATTGTTCAGGTCTCTATAAAATTGGTATCAGAGCCAACACACAGATTTCGGGCGTGGGTAATGGTGAATAGGAAAATGGATGTAAGAGTGGAAGGGTTAGAGAAGGAGATGGGAAATGTTAGAGAGGATATTGGCAACATGAAAGAATATTTAATGAAGTTGCGAGAATGGATCAGGTTGAAAGATGAGAAAAAGAATTGAAGGAAGGAGAAGATGGATTCAACTGAAATTCCAGTGATCAATGAAAGGAGTACTTCCGGTCGAGCTAAGAACACAAAAACAAATGGAGAAGATCGGAGGCTGAGGAAATTAGAGCCATCAATGTTTAACGGAGAAGGTCCCTATGGTTGGGCTTTCAGAGCCAACCGGTATTTCAATGTTAACAAATTTGCGGAGGAAGAGAAAGTGGAAACAACAGTGGTGTATATGGAAGGCCAAGCACTCAATTGGTTTCTGTGGGTGGATTCGAGAACAACATTTCCCAGTTGGGGGACGTTTAAAAATGCACTGATTAAGCGTTTTCGACCGTTATTTAAGGGATCAACATTTGAATCCCTGGTAGCGCTGAAGCAAATTGGAATAGTGACATAATATCGTGAGCAATTTGAGCTTTGTGTAGTGTCGTTGATAGAGTTGGAAAAGAAAAATGTTATCCTTATTCACTTCTCTTACTCACTTCTCTTATTCACCTTTGTTAAAATGACATATGGTACCCGTACTATGTGTATAGTACCCGTACTATGCTATATATTTACAAAAGTAAGTAAGAGAAGTGAGTAAGACTAGCATTACTCGTTGGAAAAAGAGCTGCTCATGGGATCATTTACAAATAGGTTAAAGGAAGAAGTTAGGGCAGAATTGCATTTGGTGAAGCCTAATAATCTAATTGAGTTGATGGACCATGCCCATAAGATTGAGGAGAAGAATTGTGTCTTAGACAAATATAAAAGCAAATTGGGTCGAGCCCAATGGAACAGCAGGCCTGAAGCTTATACGCGATTCACCCCAAGCCTAAACCTGTTTCGTATCAGTTGGGGGTTTGATTCTCCACGAATTTCAGACAAATCCCCAACAGCTCCACTACGAATTGAAAAAGGGGGATAACACAAGTGAGTCAACACTAGCATTTGGTCGAGAAAACAATTTTTGACGACTTTCTAAAGCTGAAATTCAATATAAGAGAGAGAAAGGGTTATGTTTCAAGTGCGACAAGAAATTTGGGTTAGCTCACCAATGCAAAAACTAAGCTTTACAAATTTTATTGATGACTGAAAGTGATGAAGTTGATGAAGAGGACGTCGTGTTCAATCTAGAGGAGGAGAATAATATTGAAGGTAATCTTGTTGCGTCATCTATGAATTCTATTGTGGGGTTAACTTTTGCCAATACATTGAAGTTACGGAGACAGATTAGAGGCGAGGATGTGATAGTGTTAGTAGATAGTGGCGCCTCGCACAATTTCATCTCTCATGATCTGATTCAAAGGTTAGAATTGACAATGGATGGAATGAAATCTTTTGGGGTAATAGTGGGTAATGGATACACTATTAGGAGTACGGGAATATGTCATGGCTTGAAATTTTAGATGCAAGGCCTTGCTGTAATACAAGATTTCTTTCCCTTCAAGCTTGGAGGGGCTAATGTTGTCTTGGGTTGGCATGATTAAGTTCATTAGCTCATGTTTGTGCTAATTGGAAGTGTCTTCCAATGAAGTTTGAGGTTAATGGGTTGTAAAACCCCTCCTTAACCGGTTATTTCCTAAGTATCACTTGGCCATTGAGAACCTAGAAAAGACACGCCTAAGAAATGAGTTTGTTTCAAAACCTATACTTTTGTCTGTTTTGTCTTTTTTTTTTTTTTTTTTTTTAATATCATAAGTATATAATATCATTTAACCTTTTTCATTCATTTGACAAGGAAATGGTCATACTAGGTTTATTAAAACATATTTACTTCAACATCCATAAACCAAAAACCATTTGATGTTATTTTACAACAAAATTTCAAAGCATAGCAAAAGCATTCCTTCATGCGCATGTCATTCCCCAGTAGCCTCTCCCAGCTTCAAGCTTCAATCCTTACCTCCAAAACATTTTTAAAAAACTGTCGTGGGGTGAGCGCTAATCGCTCAATAAGGGAATATGACCATTTATAAACTATTAAGGTTCATTATATAAGCATATCACTCAAGGTTTTACCTACCTACAAGACATGACCTTTATTCATTGACATTATCAAGTTCATAAAACATGTCATACACTTTGGACTTTCCTCATAAACATAAGTCATAACATAACCATATATAATATAACATAGAACATATATGAATTATGCAATATTCATAAACATGGCATGTCTATTTCTTTTGCCTTTGTACTTGATGTTTTCATTAGTCTTTATTATTCGATCGGATTCATTTGAACCATTACCTTGTTCTTGGTCGTCACCTCAAGGGACTCATGGTTTCCACAAAAATTATATTCCTCTGATCTTGGTTTATACCTCAAGAGACTCATGGAATTCATTCTTTAACATTTCATAAATTTTTCATAAGTCAACTAAATAAGCTATATGCATTACCATTATGAATGTAAACATATGGGATAACATCTCCCATACTCAATCATACTATTCATTCATTTAACATATACCCTTGGCCACTTTCACAATTCATCAATCAATTTAACAAAACTCCATGACTTGAATATTTTCCTATTAAATTCATTAACTTAATTCATTTGATTTCTCATACAACACAAGGAATTTCAACAGTAAGATTATTCAGTGGTTTATTAGAAATTATAAAAAAAGATGGGAATTTTTATTAAGGAGGTGGATGCCATATAATTCGTCACTTTTCAAGCAATTTTTTCCTCATCTTCCAATTTGAATTGATTTTTGGCTAAAACATAAAATTTTAGGTCTTTCTTAATTTTTTAATACTTGAAGAATCAGCTCAATCAAACTTTTATAACTTCAGTTATGACTGATTCAGCGAAGCATGTACAGTATAAGTCTTAAGAAGCCAAATCTGAATTCTATTCATTTTTAACCATGTCACATTCATTTGCACATTCATAGTATTTGCTATATCATTCTAAGTATAAAAAGCCATAAAAACCTCCCTTTTTACAAAACAAAAAAGTGTCAAAACATCATCCAACTACAAATCTCTTAATTGGCATAATTATCCTCCATATGCACACATACACCAATCAACACACCCATTTAAACAATCCATAACCAAAACATAGCATCACACTCAAATTAACATAAATAGATGTAAGTTTCATCAACCCTAGGTGTTATCGTAGTCATAAGAGAGATTTTTTTTTCTTATCTTAGTATTCAAAGCACAAAGACACTCCTCCTTAGCTCCAAAGGTTCACCCTTTCTACCTTACACACATAACCACTTATGAATTTCTCTTTCAACTAAAAATCACAACAAACTAGGGTTTTAAAACTCACCTTAAACCCTGAAATTGAAGTTCTTTAAGTGTGAATGGTGATCTCCTTCCAAATTCAACTTGAAATCCTATGAAAATTTTGAGAGAGAGAGAGCTTGAATTAAAGCCTGTAATCGAGGAAAATAAGACTTGAATAAGAGAGTTTGGTGTTCTAAGAGTGTTGCCCGACTTAACCAAGAAAAGATCTTATAAATATTTCATTTTTTTAATTCCCAAATGGGAATGGCCATTGAAAGGTAGATATAAGGGTCATTTGGTATAAATTTTGCATATAAGGGCATTTTGGCCATTTCCACTACAACATAATTATTACACTCTTTTAATGCCATTTGACTTCTCTTTTCTACTTGGTGACCAAGTAAATTCATAAGATAATTAACTAATTTACCCATAATGCACTTTTATGGATA